GGTGGCTGCAGGGTGCCGGAGGGTCTCTGGGTGCTGGGGTCAGGGGTCCTTGGGTGGGTGTGCGGGTCCCTGGGGGTCGTGAATGTGTGGTTGGGTGTGAGAGAGGGGTCACTGGATGGATCCTGGGGGTCCCTGGGGTCACAAGGGCTCGGGGGTCCTGGGGCGCAGTGGTCCAGGGGGGTCCTTGGGGCTGGATTCAAGGTGCTGGGGGGTCCCTGGGTGTAAAACTGGGGGTCCCTGGGGGTCGTGGATGGGTGGTTGGGTGGGAGAGGGGGTCACTGGATGGATCCTGAGTGTCCCTGGGGTCACAAGGGCTTGGGGGTCCCGGGGTGCAGTGGTCCAGGAGGGTCCTTGGGGCTGGATTCAAGGTGCTGGAGGGTCCCTGGGTGTAAAACTGGGGGTCCCTGGGTGGGTGCGTGTCCAGTGTCCTCTCCCCCCCACCCCACCACCACGTCCCCACAGGTCTCCGAGCTCGGCCTGGAGGGTGACATCCTTCCCGTCCCCGGGGACCACCCAGCTTCCAGGAACCGCTTCCTCTACGTCGGTGGGGCCCTGCACAAGTTGCCATCGGGTTTGGGGTGAGGTAGCCCAAACTTGGGGACGCCGAGGGCTCAGGGGAGGGCGGCCCACGGGCGGACGCCCGTGGGCCACCCTCCCCTGAACCCTTGGCGTCCCCCCCGACAACAGGGGCTTGCTGCGGCCGGTGTCCCCCTTCTCGCAGGCGCTGCTGTGGAGCGGGGTCCGGGACCTGCTGGCGCCGGCGGGGACGGAGCCCGACGAGAGCGTTCACGCCTTCGTGGGTCGCCGCTTCGGACGGGAGGTGGGTGCCCTGCGGCAGCCGATAACCCCAGGGATGGGGTGGGGAAAGAGCTTATCAAGAGCCGTCACGCTGCGGTTGGGGGGTGCCGGGTCTCACCCCTTGCTGTGTGTGTCCCCCCCAACTCTGCCATAGGTGGCCGATATCGCCGTGGACAGTTTGTGCCGGGGGGTGTTCGCCGGCGATTGCCGGGTGCTGAGTGTCCGGTCCTGCTTCCCTTCACTCTTCCAAGCTGAACGGCGACGGAGATCCGTCCTGCTGGGGCTGGCGCTGGGCTCCAGTGAGCACTTGAGGGGGGGAAATAAGGGGGGGACACACAGACAAACCCCCTCCCGGTGCCATCACTACGTGGCATCGTCACCCGACGTGCTGCTGTCGCCCCGCAGAGAAGGAGCGCGGGGCCGAGTCGGGGCTGAGCCGCCGGGCACGGGCCGAGCGATGGAGCCAGTGGTCGCTGCGGGGGGGGATGGAGACCCTCCCCCAGGCATTGGCGGCTTTTCTGCGCCCCCGCGGCGTGGAGTTGTGGTGCCAGGCGCCCCTGCGACGCCTGCGACGCTGCCCCGATGGCCGATGGCAGGTAGGGGACGTGGGGTGGGGACGCCAGAGCCCCCCAGATCCCCTTCCCAGAGGACCCCCCCCCACACACTCTCTTTTTCCCCCCCAGCTCACTCTACCAGACGGCACCGTGACGGCCGACCACGTCATCAGCGCCCTCCCGGCCGCAGGTAGGGGTCGGGGGGGTGTTTCCCTGGGACAGGGAGGATGGGGTGACCCCCCCGCTCCCCCCCGCCATGACACCCCCTCTCCTCCCAGCCCTGGCTGAGGTGCTGCCGGACGAGGCCGAGCCGCTGGCCCAGGAGCTGCGGCGCATCCCGGCTGTCTCGGTGGCCGTGGTCAACCTGCAGTATCAGGGCGTCACGTTGCCCGTCACGGTGAGAGCCCAGGGGTGTCCCCAGCACCCTTGGGGTGACCCCCCCCCCCCCAGCACCCAGGGGTGTCCCCCCCACCTCCCGCTCACGCCGCTGCTCCTGCCCAGGGCTTCGGGCACTTGGTGCCCTCCTCGGAGGACGCCTCCCTCCTGGGCATTGTCTACGACTCGGTGGCCTTTCCCCAGCACGATGGCACCGGAGCCGACTCGGTGCGGCTGACGGTGAGCGGATGGGGATGGAGGGGGCAGGAAGGGGGGGTGGGATGCTCCGGGGGGGTGCTGACGGTGCCACCAGTGCCGCAGGTGATGCTGGGGGGCGCCTGGTTCGGGCAGAGCTTCGGGGACCCGGTGTCGGTGTCACCGTCACGGCTGCTGGAGAGGGCCCAGGCGGCCGTGCGGGACCAGCTGGGCCTGGAGCCGGCCCCCACCCGCTCCATCGTCAGGGTGCACCAGGTGGGTGATGACACCAGGGGGTTTGGGGGGGCTAGGGGGGTCCCACAGGGCTCACCAGCAGCTCCTCCTCCTCCCCAGGCCTGCATCCCCCAGTACACGCTGGGCCACTGGCAGCGCACAGGTAAGAGGGGGGGCAGGGGGGTGGTCCAGGGTGATGTTGGGGGTTCCCTTGGCCCCCCCCAGCATCGCCCACCGTCCCCCCCGTCCCCCCAGAGCGCATCGGGCAGTTCCTGGCCGAGCAGCAGCTGCCCCTCAGCCTCATCGGAGCCTCCTTCGCCGGCGTCTCCGTCAACGACTGCATCGCCAGCGCCAAAGCGGCCGTGGGGCGGCTGATGGGGGAGCTGCGCTGAGCTCCCCCCTACCCCCCACCCCCAGCACCCACAGCCCCACCGCAGTAGGACAAAGTGTGTGTTTTTTAATTGAAAAACCCTTATAAAGGTCCAGGGAGCAGCTCATAAATAGAATAAATAACCGCGCGCCGGCAGCGCAGCCTTTGACCGTCCTCGGGGGAGACAGAGCCAGACGAGCCCCCGCCTCTCCCCGCACCCCTTCCCGGGGGTGATCCCCCATAACAGCCACTAGCCCCATGGCCAGCAGCTCCCCTGTGGTTGCCCCCAGGGCTCTCTTCTCCCCCCTGAGTCTCTCCAGCAAGGCCACAGAGCGCCCAGCCCAGCTGCAGCTCCTAAGGGTCCCTTCCCAAGCGCTGGGTCGTGGCGAGCAGAGTCTGTGTGGGAGCCATGGTGGCCACTGGCTAGTGGCCACCCTGGGGCAGGCTCTGGTTGTCCCTGCGTGCAGGCAGGATCTCCATCTCCTGTGCCACAGGCGCACTGGTGCTGCTCCCCGGCTGGGCATCGCCATCCCCAGTGGCCTCGGGGCTGCGCTGGGTGATCCCCGGTGCCGGCGCGGAGCCGGTGCCGCCCTGGGTGCCGTTACCCGCCGGGGGCTGCTGCACAGCAGCCGTGGGCAACCGGGGGGACAGGGCCAGCCCCTGCTCCCCCCACCCTGCGGCCTCCCGGGGCAGCTTGCGCAGCATCTCCTCTCGGAAGAGGCTGCTGCTGCTGCGGTACCTCTGGCCCTGGTGGCCCGGCACCGGCCCCCGGTGGCTCCGGCCAGCGCGGGGGTCCGTGCCGATGTCCACGGTGAGGTTGGTGTAGAGCGGGTGCAGGTGCTTGGCCAGCAGCGTGTAGGTGAGGGAGTTCATCCCGTCCTGCGTCCACATCCGCTGCGTGCGGATCAGCAGGTCGAACCTGGAAGGAAGGAGGGAGGGGAAGTGTCATCCCCCGAATCCCCACCAGCCCCCCCCCAAGCCCCTCACCAGCCCCCCCAGACCTGTGGGGGTTCTCCTCGTTGCCTTTGTCGCTCTTGTGCTTCACCATCTTGTAGTGTCCGATGGAGATGGGTGGGCGGGCGATCTTCATGCCGGCCAGGCGCACCCTGCGGGGAGCCCCCGCGTCACCCATCGCCAGGGTGTGGGGACGCCGTCTGTGTCCCCCCCAGGGTGACAGCAACAGCCCCCACACCTTTGCCCTGCGCGGTGATGCCATCCCCAGGCCCAGCAAGCGCCGGTGCCTCCCGGTGGGACGTGAAAACAGAGGTCCCCACGGTGCCCTACCTGGTGGCGATGTCATCGTCCTCCCCGCCCCAGCCCCAGTACTCGTTGGGGAAACCATTCATCTTCATGTACTGGTCGGGGGTGAGAGCCGAGACCCCCCCGAAGTACTGGGGATAGGGCAGGCTGTGAGAGAGGGGGGACAGAAGCTGAGTCAGGGCTGGTCTCCCCCCCTGTTCCCGGCTGCCCCCTCCCCACTGCGGTCACCCACCTGTATCCGAATTTATTCATGGCCACGGAGACGTGTTTGGGGTTCCAGGGGTCGCAGGTGTAGAGGTTGTGGTCGTTCTCGGGGATGAGGTCCACGTCGTGGAGGAAGAGGCAGTCCCACTCCTCGTCCTTCAGTGCCTCCTTCACCCCCACGTTCAGCAGCTTGGCCCGGTTGAAGGTGGAGTTGCCGGCCTGCGGGGCAAGCCGGTTGGCACCGATGGCCACCACAAAGCCCCCGGTGGCCCCCAAAGCCCCCGGTGCCGCCGGACTCACCTGGTGCACAACGTAGATGCCGTACTGGAGCTGCTGGCGCTGCAGGAAGGGGTGCAGGTAGTAGAGGAGGTGGCCCAGGTGGGTCTCCCGGTTGCGGTGGGGGATGATGACGGCGGTGCGGGAGCGGGGCTCGCAGGTGGAGGGCTGGTACCGGCCGCCCTCCTCCACCGCCGGGTTCTTGGCCTGGATCTGCTCCAGCGTGGGCACCCGGCTGAAGCTCACCGTCAGCGGGCCGACTGCGGGGGGGGAGGAGGCAGGGGGCTGGCGTGGGGCGGCGGGG